CACAGGAATCAACCATCTGCAGCTACCTTCTTGCACAATGAACTGGACACTCATCGGCTACAGTCTGCTATAAGTCCAAGATGTCCCGTTTCCTTGGCGACGTTCAACGTTAGCAATCTAAGACAAATTGGTCAACAGACAGCACTTGCACCCACGTTGGACTCAGTGGTATTGACGTGTATTGCATATACGAAACTAGGATCAGCGACCATCAGGGGGATGTTGAATTAACTGCGCTCGATTGGTTCTCTCACTAATGGTCGCACGCACCCGGAGATGCTGATGAGGTAATCACTGGGCAACCTGCTGTAGGCAGAGTTCTCAGCTTCGAGGCTGAGTCATCGTTAGTTCATTTGGCACCTATGAGTGGCCGATTGTGTACGGTCCGTGTAACTACATTAACTAAGGCCGATCCACGAAGTAACAATAGACCGCGTTTCCGCTTACGTTCCCACTGACTGTGACTCTGCTGTTGCAAAGGACACCTTTTATTACGAATTGAACACCTTACTACGCCGTGCTACCAGTCTAGTTATCATAGTGGTTACAGTGGATATGAATGCACAACTCGGTCGCTTGGGCCCTTAAGAAGCTCAGCGCGGCGGTAATTAGAAGATTAACTCCGAACTATGGACAACGGCGAGCGACCCCTGCAACTATGACCGCTGCACCAGTTAAATTACAATCAGGACGCGTTTAGACACAGTGAGCGCCAAGTGTCACTTGGTGTCCACCTATAGCTGAACAGCGCTAGGCCCAAATGGATCCAATTACCGGAAGTTCCAGGTGGTGTGGTTCTGTGCTGGAATTTCGCTCCTTCTGGATTACTTGCGTCTAATCCGATCATGCCTCGTACCACTGTCATTTTTACAAGAACTTTATCGGGAGGTGTACTAGACACATTCCTCTGTTGGTAACTGAGAAACTAACTCAGCCCTCGGATAGGCCTGCCTAAGAGGTTGCACTGCGCACCGAAATTTAGATGGCTTGTCCTAATACCCCTGAGCTTCAGTGGAAAAGACCTCAACCGTCAAGAATGATACAGCAGCATCTGCTTGTGGTACTATCAATTAGCACCGAAACAGTCATTGGATATCCAAACGCTTGATGAACCGGTAGGAATACAGAAGGAACCTCCAAGTTGGCTCTAAGCATAATGTGACGAAACGGATTGTTACGCGCGAAAGCATGCAGAGCCTGCGCTGTGAGAAGAAAGCCTGATGATCCACTGGGGTTCAAGAAATGGAGGAGGCGAGATCAGTAAGCACTACTCGCAAGCCTCTTCAGCTGCACTGCACAATGCTCCCAAGAAACCAGACGTCAGTGACACAATCTGAGCCAGTGCGGATGCCATGATTCACAAAAAGGAAGCGCCGTTTGGCCTGTAGGGCGAAGTAATTTTGAGATCAGTTAAATAGGATCCTGCTGGACTTCTTCCAACTCACGTGTTGCAGGATGATCTATGGACGGTTATTGTAAAGGTAACATCTGAGGCTGGGATCAGAAAGGCAATCACAGTCCTCAGTCGTTTTCGTGCTGCTGATCCGGGTTCCTTCCTACCTACATATTAAGTGATGGAGTTGAGGTCTTCTGAAAACCACTGACGTCACTGCTCAAAACTCGTCTAGAAGGAAGAGACATCCAGCCTAAATGGAGTGAAAATATTTTAGTAGCAATATACAAGTAAGGCAATCGCACAGACTGTGTTAACCATATGAGTATTAGCCTAACACCTGTAGTGATAACTTTATTGACCTCAATACTATTTCCTCACCTCACCTAGGAACGGGGATCTCAGATTAGGAATGAACAGATATGTGTCCGCCCAGTACGGGGCTCTGTCGGCCGGTGGCCGAGTGGTCTGTACGTTTGATTTGCAACCATAAGGTCACCGGTTCGAATCCGCGTAGGGGTGGGCGTCCTCGCGGTATACTCAGCCCGGGCGCGACTGGTGGTGGTCGCGCGGCAGCGAAGCGCCGTTACGGCGTACAGCTGACACATTATATTTATTATTATTAGTACGGGGCTCTATGGGCCATTTATTCACTCCGTGGCAAGTGCAAGAGCAACGCTCCACCTCCTACCGACCGACGGTAGCTTTGTCCCTTGCCTTCTACAGTACCTCCGATTCAGTTGATCGATGCATTCCGTTCTAAATACCTAAGCTGGAAGGTTTTTCCATGGAAAATGTGAACATGTTACGTGCTCTATAATTCAACACCATAGGCCGCTTCATGGTCTACATTGACCTATCGTATATTATCCCGACGAGAAGTGGCGTTCGTCTGGGTTAACTAAGTTTCTAGTTATTGTTCAATTTCTTCATGGTGCGCATCACGCAGTGTTCACTTGCAGAGTCTCACGATACAGGCGCTGAGTTGCTGCGTTGTGGTAAGCTACTGATCATCATTAGCCAGACGATATCGTCTTGCTGTTTAACGACGTTGAGCCGACGCGATCAAGCCTGAGTATTATCTCTAGAGTCGTCCCATTATTTGGTATGTGCTTCACACCATGAGTAGTAAATGTTGTTGCAAGGCAACCAGCTAGTTGACCAACCCCTGGCACTTGATAGCAAGCAGTTACAGGCTGTTGGTCAATACCCTTAATACGGCAGCTGCATCAGCAGAGGTGGGCGCATAAGGACTGAAGTCAGTACATGGATTACAAAATCCAGAACTGCCTTGATTCTGGGACCACTTTGGTGAAAGAAAGGAGTTTCTCTACGTCTGAAAGGCCATGTTCACAATGCCAACGCACGGGCCGGCCTATTCTTTAGGGTTAAAACTTGGCCCCTTCGATCTGAGGATCTTTGGTGCCTTCAAGTCTTTGATCATCGCCGTCTGTGGAGAATCGCAGGTGTCGAAAGACATTAACGTGTGTGAAAAAATGATGTGCTAGGCGAGTGCTAGGCAGTGACAAATAAACTAATTCCTTAGAACAACAGATAGCATTGAATAAGTTGCGTTGACTTGTGTACGTGCTATGTACGCCCGGTCATCGCTTATGCAGTAAATCCTTGTTTTGTCTTTCAGATGCAGGACGGCGCAGGGAGTGAGGTAGACAAAGTTGACCTAGCAGTCGGAAATGTAGTCACTGACAACCAAACTCGATGCCGTCGGTCCGTCTAGCCCTCCAGGCTGGGGTCCACTGGACTCGCTTGTGATTGGCGCGATACTTTACAGGACATGGCTCGCAGTCGACACCAGTATCGTGTCTGGCTGACTGTTTAAAGTGTGTTTGTTGCTGTGTTATCTGCGACGGGATAGCAGAATATGACATCGGCCAGTCAAAGTCGCAAGGAAGCTGTCTCGCCGATGTCGCCTTATCTCTGCACGATAGCCCGCTGTTTATGACAATACGCTATTGACAAGGTGTTGACGCCTTGACTCTGCAGGTATTCTTAGGGCCGTAAGTTTTCTCAGTTTGTCCCCCTTCTCTCCCTCTAATTATTCGCCGTTCCATAGGTTGTTGTGGTTGTATGGCAGCGAACCGTTAGAGCAAATGGCTGATGTAGTGCTGTTGCTAGGGTAGATGATGATGATGATGATGATGATGATGATGATGATGACGATGATGATGATGATGATGATGATGATGATGATGATGATGATGATGATGATGATGATGATGAGGATGATCATGATGATGATGATGATGTTGAATCGTCAAAACGTCCAGTATTATCAAAGGGAGCACATAAGCGAGAGGGAACATGCATGCCGCCAACCAGCGTACGGCTGGAACTTGGTCCGGAACATGCAGCACAGCACTTTGCAGTGTTATCCAGGTTTACACCGTCGCGCTGCATCTTCCACTTGTCGAACAACAACCCGAAATTTACTGAAATGTAGAAGTGTTATGTTTTACTGACATATTGCACACATATCTGCGAAACAGCCACAACACTGTCCCATATAGCTTGTATTAAATAGCTTACGTTTTCGTCAGCAAAAAGGATAAAATCAGGACCGGTGCACCTATCTGTATGTCCATATGATCGATCTAACCAGTCCCCTGAGACCTGCTGTACGTTGTTGATATACATACACTGATGGTGATCATCCTGAATGCCATTTTAAGCGATAGCATTTAATCAGTGAATGAACTGTTTTGGTTCTCCATGTTATAACTAGAGGACTGCTACAAATTCCGAGAGATCGCTGTTTCAACTCTACGGTCTGGTCCATTTGTTACTAAGGGCTGCCAGAATTCGGTTACTCTTTACGTGACTGCATCTGCATCTTTACCGAACTAGTGCGGTGAAGTAATAATTTTGGTTTAAAGATGCCAAATCCGAATATTTTACGATGCTTGAAGTCTGCTGTTTAGCTTGTATGTCTTTATATTAACGCAACCGCTAAAGAAAAGCCTCAAATTTGCAAGCAGCCGTCAGCTAGCCATATAAACTCCTAATTACTTTTCATGGCTACCGATGACTAAACTTGACTAAGCTTGTACCTCATTTGGTTTAAGTCCTGATAGCTCGCAAGCAGTCAATCCGTAGATGAAGCAGTCTACACTGATCCGCTATTACAGGGGAGCGATAACATTTACTATCACTTAGGTAATTATTATAAAAACGGAGCTTTCGCACTGCTTAGAAATAAAACGTTATAGGCCTGATCATGTTATCAGATATCCAGGTCCTAGTGTATTGGGCATATGTATTGGTTTTGGATGTATGTGAGTATATGTATTGGTGTCAAAAACTAAGAGACATATATATTACCTTCTTCCGAGAGGCGTCCCAAACTGTCCAACTATGATTTATCTCTCTAGCGTCAGATAATAGTTTACGCCAAACGGTGCTGTAAATCTTGATTCATCATGAGTCTGCTTTAAAGATGTTTATGGCACTTTGACATTTGATATTACCATACAGTGAAGTAACATGCCTAAATCAAGCGCAATTGGTTTTGTATATCCAGCATACGAAATCCAGGATACTTCGTTATTTTTCCCATCGTATTTATCATCAAGTATCCTGTTCTCTTTAGGACGAAAATGCAGATGCGGTGTTCACGTACAAGATGGTTGAGAACGTTACCGTTTTCGAGATCATCCTGCAAGTTCTGAATCTTATGGAGTTGGACATGTACTCACATGTTATCTCGCAACATGATTGTGGAGTGATGAATTTGAGTTCTTCAATTGACAGAGTGAGATATCAAGAAGTTGTTAGACCTCGATATTACTTACCGACTGTAATCGATATTCATCGGTTACTACTGAAGTCCGCGGAGGTGTGTTCGGCTGGAGGTAGGTCAGTGTACAAATCGAACGTATCCAACCACGTATACCATCATATTATTCCTACGTTATAAAAGTCCATTTTGTATTTTACAACGACATACATCAGTTGTCCGACTGCATGCAAAGTTTTGATTTGTTGAGCAGCCAAGATTATGGCAACGATGGTGGGCAAGTGAAGAGAGCACACTGTGGATTTTTCGGGTGCAAATATAGGAGAACGTAGTCCAAACCTTTGAGCAAGTTCGCAGAGCTTCTGCGCCAAAACCGCATTACAGGACTTGCATCAACGCTAATGCGACGATGTTTTCTGAGTCTATTCAGCAACTTGAATGAATATCATTCACATTGGCCCACATCGATATCAAATGCACACCAAAATAGCCGCTCGGCAGGCGAATTGTTAACAACAACTATTGCACTCTGTTAGGTCTCTCAACCACTTGGTTAGAGGTCAGATGCTGTTTTGACGTCGCCGCGTATAAGGTGGTGTGTATCACATGGTGTGCGATTGGTTTTGCCATGTAGATCAAATGAAAGTACAGTTCCACCAAGATGAATGTCTTGTGAAACTGGTAAACTCAATTAACAAGTCTGTAGAAAGGCCAAGTAACGAGTAAAGAAAATGTTTATTATCAGAACTCTTGGAAATTGTCGCGAAACGAATAAGCGCCTCGATGAAAATGGATGTGATGTAGCAGATTTGCATTTGCTGTTGTCCACATCACCAATGCTTATGCTTATTGAATACACCGTTAACAAAACAGAGCATATTTCATCGATTATGCCGATTCACAGGTAGTTGTGGAGACATCGCAGTGATCGGAATCTAGGTACTCGAATCAATGCGGATTGAAATCACGGGACCGTTATGCTAGGTGAATCGCAATGCACGCATTCCGCAATAACTATGAGCCGGTTGATGAAAGCTGCTCATTGCCTTCGTGCGCGGTCGTAGGCTTGAAATTATCAAGCTGCTCGAGACCACTTTGACAATCCACAGCACCCAAGCTGTGTACAAAAATAGCGTGAAATCACACCAAGCAACCTTGTTAGTGTCTATACCTTCTAACACGCATATTAGCGTATTGTACCAAGCTTTTAGCGTGGTTCATTTTCGAAATAGCGTGCGGTACTTTCAAGTTAGCGAGGCCAGGAACCCTGATTTGGCGTCCATGACACTCTCATGGGTCATGGGACATAAACCAATGGGACTTCGGTTAGAAGCCACCAGCATAAGCGACAGACAGTCCAATGAAAGTGGTCGAGCACCACCTTCTGGTCTGCCTTGATGCCCATCTGAGTAAACCTCAATGATTGGTCTCCAACCTGAAACCGACCAATAGGCAAATTGTGCTGTCTGTCAAAGGAGGAGATGCTAGCTACCACATTAACCAAAGCTTAAGACGTAACCAGTGAGGACAGACATACTAACCAGCACATAAAGCGGTCTATACTTAGTGAGCACTAGCGGCTACCTGGTGGTGGCTTATTCAGCGGTAAGCCTAAGACGTAACCAGTGCGGACAGACATACTAACCAGCACATAAAGCGGTCTATACTTAGAGAGCACTAGCGGCTACCTGGTGGTGGCTTATTCAACGGTAAGCCTAAGACGTAACCAGTGCGGACAGTACCGGATGGGCATCGTTCCGGTAAGCTACCTGCTGGCTACTATGCAGCAGAAAAAAGGATTTACTATGCAAAATTATAAAATGTTAGATAACGAGATCGTGGTTGGAGGGGGGAGGCTAAGATGGATGGGGTGGGACAAAGAAACTCACAGCACGAACGCCACTATGGTCGGCTCCTTGCCATATCAAAAAGTATATCCAGCCAAACGTGTTCATCGTCTTTCGGACTCCAACCAGGGAGAAGAGACGTTCAAACCGAGGCCAGCTTCAAAGTGTGGGCCTTCATTCCTCTCGACCAAGTCATTGCTTGGCCACCTCTTCTCTTCTTCCATCCACACTCCCAGCGTGAAAACAACGCACGTCGCGTGAGTCGGTGGAATGACAGATGAAACACGTGGCCGAGCTATCGGAGCCTGAAGCGTGAAATAACGCGTCAAACACGCTCGTTGCTTAATCGGTGTTCCCGCCAGATTTGAGCTAAATTGCGAACGCACCGGTGGTCGAACGTAACTAGCCACTTTATGTCCGCTGCTTTAAGGGGCCAGGTTTCACAATCATATAGTAGGGTCGAACCTACCGCTGCATTGTACACTCTACATTCGGGACGAGAGTGATGTCGCGCCGACGCCGTAAGTGGCGAAAATTAGCAAAAGCGCCTCTAGCTCTTGCTATACGGTTCGTGATCTCATCTTCAATCCCATGGGCGCTGATACAACTTTCCAGGTAGTTGGATTTTTGAACGACTTCTAGCTGATCCCCACCAAGGGTCAACGCAGGCAGTCCAGGCCAATCTTGGAGGAACGCGTTGCACTTCGATGGTGCAACAGAAAAGCCCGAAGCGGTTGACAGCCGGTGCTAATCTGTCCAGTGCCGCATGGCACGTCTGGTAGCTGTCACAGATTAAGGCAATATCGTCAGCATACTCCAAGTCAAGAAGTCGTTCTCCTGGGAGTAGCTCCACACCTTCTAAGTCGTATCCTGTGAACGAGATTGCCATGACTTCGTCAATAACGAAGTTGCAAAGGAAAGGTGACAGCGAGCATCCTTGTCTCACCCCACAGGAGATATTAAGGGCGAGGACAGCTTGCCGTGAGCCCTCACTGTGCCAGGGCTACGCGGGTATAATAACCGGATAATATTTACACATTCCTCAGGTACACGTTTCCCGATTGGACAGTCACGAAGTGCACATCTGTTCACCGAATCGAATGCACCTTTGGTATGGAGGAACACGACAACAGTGGGCCGCCAATATATGTAACGGTGCTCGATCAACTGACGCAAAGTGAAGATGTGGTCAATGCAGCCACGACTTCGACGAAATCCGGCTTGCTCTTCACGAATCTGGCTTTCACAAGTGTCAGTCAGTCTGTGAAGGATTATAGAGGCAAGCAGTTTGGAAGCGATGGAGATCAGACTGATTGTCTATGGTTGCCGCATTCCGATCGTAAGCCTCCATTGAAAATTGGGACTATGACGGAACGGCTCCAATCGGTTGGGACAGTTTCCTGTTCCCACAGTTTCATTAGTTACTCTTATAAATCATCCACAAGAGCAGGTGCCCTGAATTTGAAGAGGACTGGTGGTAGATCATCTGGTCCCGCGGCTTCAATTAACTTCAACAGGGCAATCTCACGTTCGAGTTCTGAGCGGGAGGGTGGATGCAAATGGACAGCCATGGGAGCGGGGTGGTCAGTGGCCAGCGAGAAATCGAGCAAATCCGACCGATTAACTTGCCTTTAAAAGTGCTCAGCCCAACGCTCCAAGCGTTTTGATAAGTTGTGGATAGGCTGTCCACTCTCATCACAAATTGTTTCACTAACACCAGGCCTTCTGCTGCCCATTTCCCGTATCAGCCGGATTAACTTATGGTAGTTACAGAGGGCAGCGGCCATTTCCACCTCTGATGCACGATGAGACCACCAGGATTCGCGGTCTCTCTTTGGGGTAGTACGGAGTTTTGCTCGGAGCTCTTTGCGAG